CCAAAGACAAGCACTTGAACTGTAAAAAGTATATTGAGCTTCTACTTAATAACAAGCAAAGCTAGAAACTGTAAGGTAATACTAGAAGATGCAGAAATAGTAGCAAATGTTAATAATACAAGCAAACATAAATAACCTACAAAAATTTTATAAACCATACAGTGATGCAGACAATTACTGATACAAACAAAACATTTTCCAGTGGTGAGTTGAAACTATACATCTATTCATGGCTTAAGCACTCCATTTTAATACAATAAGTTATGATGTTTAAACCAGTTTGAGTGGTTTCTATCATTTTCATAAATTAATAAGTTTATCAATATCACTTACTTGTCTTTAAAATTTAGGGTCATGCTGACAGCAAAAGGGAAGCAAATTTGATGATGATAATTTCCTACCTTCAGAGCTGCTGGGAAATGAATAATATAGAGATCAACATAGTCCAGTTGAAGTTTTTTCAGTGATTTTTCCAAGCTTGGTCGGACCAGCTCTGGTCGAAGGAAAGTGCACCAAAGCTGAAGGGTTAAACAGTGGAAATTGCGCTGAATAAATATGTTGGTCAAATTTCTTGATTTACTTCATCTAATATTGAGACTTTTTCATACTAGGCAAGGAATAGTGAGCACTGAAGGAAAAGGCTTCCTTCTTTTTGGGTGTCCTATGCCATAATTAGTCTCATGATCTCCATCACTTCTGTAGAAGTTACTAATAGGCCTACTAAAAGACTGATGGTTATGGTGTCAGAGATGATTTTCTATCAAATATCGATAATGTCCATTGTTTCATTCATGTTTGACAAAGTTCACAAATAAAAACATAGAGACATTGAAAGAACTGGTGATAGTACCATGATGTAGTGGGTTAAGCTGCTGCCCACAGCACCATACCATATGAGCACCTGGCTGCTCCACTTCCAATCTAGCTCACTGCTAATGTGCTTTGGAAAGTAACAGAATATGGACCAAGTACTGTGTCCCAGTACTCACAGGGGAGCCCTGATCAAGCTCTGGATCCTGGCTTCAGGCTGGTCCAGTCCTGACTTTTCTGGCAAGTTGTGGAGTGAACCAGAGATAAAAGCTCTCACTAACTCTTTCCACTCTCTCTTTTTCACACACACACACACACACACACACACACACACACACACACACACAAAGGAATGAAAACGAAAAAGAAAATGTAAAATGAAAACACTCTCTGGGATCTCCGGGATAGTGTGTCTTGGGAAATCCTCACAAATGAAAAAAAAAAAAAAAAGAAGTAAAGATTGTGAATCTTAAATATGAAATAAAAACATAAAATGTAATAAAAATTAAACAGCGGTGATTAATTTGTAGCAATAAGAAATTCCTCCTTAATTACCGAATTGCATAATTATTTCCACACAAAACATTTAGTTGCTTAGTTCACCTGCATGTCACATCTACTGTACCTTGGAGGTGTAGAATATGTCTTCCCTCTTCACGGTGCCATCTGCGATCTTGCTGCGGATGGCCAGACCAACTTCCTCTTCATTTTGGTACAGATAAGCAGCATCAATGTGGCGGAAGCCAACATCTATAGCTATTTTGGTAGCCTCTGTAGCCTTACTCTTAGGAACCTGAGGGAGCAGCCAAAAATATGAGAGAGATAGACATGCGATTAGAAAAAAGGTGATGCACCAGCAGTGGCCCTCACAATAATCATTTTTCTTCTCAGGTCTGGATGATTTTGTATAACTGGGATAAGGAATCTATCCCTCTTTGCCTGGGTCTTCCCTAAATAAGAACAAGCAGGCAGCTCAGCAGCCACTTACTAGGAGGATCTGTTGTCCATTGAGGTCTTGCTTTTATGGAAGGCTCAAAGGATACAGCCAAAAGCTAATATCCTGACTGCTACATAGTGAATTCACAAAGGAATATTAGCACAAGGAAACATGGAATGGAATGAAATATGGACAAAATACAGCACAATTAGCTAGGAGTCCTCTTCCAATGAGACAGAACACAATTCTGCAAGAACTGAATTTTTGCAAAATTTACAAATTTGTATCAAAAAAGCTGGTTTTTAGAGTTCTCTACTTCTAAGATTTTTTTGAAATTTGAGATTTGGTTATAAAACTTACAAAAATTATAAAATATATGCACATATATAATATATATGAAATATATATAAATGCATATTCTATTTCCTTAAAGAAATTCAGAGATAAACAAACTCCAATGCCTGGACAGGTAGTTTAGTTACAGCCACCATGTTAAGAAGTCAGGAAATTGAACACAGTGTAGGGTTTCTGATGCCAATCTAGATTCAACTGAATAAGAGACATTTCAATAGATAGGAGGATATTATATTAACCCTATTCTACAGAGTCATTTTGTCTGTCCCTCACAGCAAAAGAAAAGAAAAAAGAGCAGAAAAAATATACTTAAGAGTACATATTGACCTGAGAAATTAACTGTATCATATAAGAAGTTATTCTAAATAATTGTAGCCACCGAGACATAAGCCGTTTCTTTTATATGAGATAAACAGAATTAAACTTCAGAATCATTGGCCTTCACAAATTGCATAGAGACTGGAAAGTGTTTGTTACAGGATAGACAGGTAATGAAACAAATGCTTCCAAACATTTGAGTAATTTGAGGAGCTTGATTTGTTGACAAAATAGTAAGGAATCAGATAGTAGACGTGCTGCCTGCTGCTCCCCTCCCAGCTGTGAGGGCACTAAGACATTTAATCCCATCTAAACATTGCTGAATGCCCTACATCCTTCCCTCTACTTCTTGTCATCTCACTGTCAAATGTAAATGAGTCTTGGTGTGTGCCTTCAAAGGTTCTTTTCTGTGCTTTGTATAAATTATTTTTCTTGATAAAATGAATGGCATCGTTTATTTGTGATAGTTTGTACTTTATTATGTGAAAAACTGCCTGAGAGATGCAAAATACTGGGTTAGTAAATTATGGCATTCACAACATCTTGAAATGTGAGTAAATTAAAAACAAATATAATGACCAACGTTGCTTTTAATGTTCAGCTAATAAAACAGCTTCCCATACCCTCGTCAAATGTAGTGCTTGTGAAAGAGGAAAGAAGAAACTCCTCATGTCCTAAATGGATGAAAGTGAAAGTAAATATAAAGTATTACAGAAATACAAGGAAAAGTTTTTAGACACTTTAAATAAGTCTTTGTTTAAACAGAAGTTTAAATTTGGATATACAGACCATGTCAGACGATTGTGTAATCAGGAAACCCTATCAGCGTGTAAGGTTCCCTCCACAATGCTCACTTTATTGGGCCCATGCACATACTCCTTTGAATCCTACATTTGTTAGCCAGTATGAAACACTTAGCCTCACTTTGTTAGATTCCCATTTCCTTAACATATTATTCTACTTTTGTCTAGGCAATTTCCCCAGAGGTAAGAACAACACAAAGCAAAAATCTTCTGTCTCCTGCTTCTGTAATTACTGTGTAACCTTCAGTTAAAGGTTACCTTGAACTGTTGAACTGAACAGCCTCACTCTCGCTTCGTTTCCTATACACTTCCACTCATGACAGAAAAATTTCCCTGTACCATTCCTGATTGGGAACTGGAAATATTTCTTAAATTAAGAAAACAGCCAAGAAATCGCTCCAACTGCAATCAAACATCAGGCAAGCAAACTAAGAAGCCGTCCTGATGAATTCTGACTTGCTTCTCTTTCCGAAAGTAGCAAAACAAGTGTCCAGGATCACCAGCAGGGGACCACAGAATCTGACCGTCAGGCAGAGCAAAATGCGACTAAACTCAATCTTATGCATGAAATACTGCTAGCCTGGAGAACTTGGGGGAAAAAATGTGAAACTGTCAGTGTGACACAGTCTGGCTGACTTTTCAATCTCGTTCGTACTCCAGTTATCCAAGCTCTATTTTCTTTCGTTCCTTGAAATGAAAAGTAATGCAGATAATTACCTCATCAGGTGCATAGGTGCCCAGTCCCAGCACAGGAATGGAGTGTCCGTCATTTAATGCCACACGCTGAAATTTGGCATCCATTGTTTTCACTCTGCTGACCAATCACACTCTGCTTCTTGCTGCTGCCTGAACGAGAGGAACAGGAAGTCAACATGCCTGCTGTCTGTCTAAAGTTCTAGGAATGTGGGAGGAGCAAAGTTAAAGCGGTATGTCCTAGTGAAGAAGAGATGTGCAAACAGTTTACTATTATATAAAATGTATGAAAGAAGAAACCATGACTTTATTAAACTATAAGCAATCAGACATCTGTCCTTTCATTTTATCTTTATAATGAAATGCCATGTATTCTGCATTGCACTACATAAACAAACACAAATACACAGAATTAAAGAAATGAACTGAGGGAAAATACATTAAACTGGGGAGATTGCAACAAGATGGTGGCTGAGTAATAAAATGCACTAATTTGAACAGATAGTCATCTGTGCACAGTAACTTAAACAGGTACCCATTTGTAGACAATGTTGTGATCAGGAACCCCATCCAGGCACCAACTACCTTCCCAAGAGCTAAGGAACCCAGTGAAGTATCAAAGAAACAGCACGTAGAATCCGTCTGAGAGAAAGGATGAATTGTCATGATTGCTAAGTTGAGGAACTACAACTCCTGCCTCATCTGGCCTTGTTTAGAGATCTCTAATCCTGGCAACAAAGAATTGCACAGTCCTCACTGGCTTTTACGTTCAGTCTAGAAGGTAGTTCTGCATTATAGTGTAAGGAGTTACATGAATACGCTCAGATCCCTGTTGGAATGAGAGGCGGAGAAATTCCTGTGCACCTTTAAATTGTGCAAAATGCTTGCTTCGGCCAAGAAGCTGCCCTTCAAGAAACAAAATAACAAGTGTCTTCTGAGTTTCTAGTTTTATCATCAGAATAGCAAACAGGCAGTGAACCTACCCTTCTGTATTTCTGATCTTATCATGAGAATAGAAAGAAGTTATTAACCCACCCTTCTAACGGCTTTGACTTGTATGTTTTATCAGAGCTAAGCCAGACAGAATTGTAATTCTGATAGGTTTTGTTCGATACGTTTTGTGTTTTGTCTCCACCCTCTGATTAGTCTTTGAATTGTGCTTAATAGACTCCATTTGACCATTTTCTGAGCTCATAGAGAGCTTCCCCTCTGACTGTTGTGGCAAGGTGGTTTGATTCCTGACTTAAAAAAGTATTCCTTTGCTCACTGCTTTATGTGGCAATTCTTTGACATGAGACAAGAACCAAGCTCTCCTTAATGGCCCCTACTTACCCATAGCACCAACAGGTCTGACTGAATCTCATGGGTTCAGCTGGCCCTAATAGGCCACAGAACCCAATCCTACAATAACCCTTTCCATCACGGTGGACAGTGGGTTCAGGGTATCTGGTGTAGGCAAGTCCTTAAACCCTCCAAATAAGGAGACATCCTCCATATGAATTGGGGGGCACACTCTCCCTCACAATCTCTCTCTCAAACAACTAGAACAATTGCAAGTTGTGACTTGAGTCTCATGCAGCAATCTAGTCTGACTGCAGAGGCTCAGGGTTCTGTGCACACTGGGGACACATATCCAATTATAGTCAAAGGGTGCAATGTAGAGCGAGAAGGTGTTCTGGATGGTGTTCGCATCTGGGTGAGTGGAGAGATTCAGAACAAAGCAATTAGTCCCAGTATTCCCTCCCCATTTGGCAGCAGCCAGAGGTGCTCTAACATTCCTGTCTCATCTCAGGTAGAACTCTGGGCTATTGCTCCACCCAAATTCAAACCTACATAGCTAGTCAACCTCTTGGAGAGGATTTGTTGGTCGCAAGTTCTTTACCCTGCATGAGTGCAAATTTTGGAGCTCTGGATCTGGGTAATAATTCTGAGTCCTTGTGTCCACTCATTTCTTAAAATCCAGCACTTGGACCAGGTGTGATAGCATAGCATTTAAAGTCCTCACCTTGAATGTACCGGGATCCCATACGGGCACTGGTTCTGATCCCAGCAGCCCCGCTTCCCATCCAGCTCCTTGTTTGTGGCCTAGGAAAGCAGATGAGCATGGCCCAAAGCCTTGGGAACTTGCACCTGTGTGGGAGACCGGGAAAAGCTCCTGACTCCTGGCTTTGGAATGGTTTAGCCCCGGGTTTTGGAGGCCGCTTTTGCTGGGGAGGGGGAAGTTGAATCATCGGACAGAAGATCTTCCTCTCTCTCCTCCTCTCTGTATATTTGCCTTTCCAATAAAAAAAAAAAAAAAGTAAATCTTAAAAAAATGTAAAACAGCAACACTCACAGTTCCAGTGTCTGATTTGCTTACTGATTGAAAATCTATGAGCAAGGAATTCCCACAACACAGGAAAGGGCTGCTCTCAACATCTAAAAATTAACAGGAATTTTACTGGTTGGCAAGTTTTTCTTTTAGGAACCACATCTAAACCACATCTTTTCTTTCTCTTCTGGACTCTGGGGTGCATTCGTTTACTCCTGCCCCTGTTTCAGAATTTTCATCCAAAAAAAAAAAAAAATCATTACGTATCCCACTGTTTTGGTGTCGTTTACCTGATTTCCTTCATTTGGTATTTATTTCTATATCTATTTCTGTATCTCTCTCTGTGTGTGTATATATCAAGACTACTCCGGGTATCTTTTTAAAAAAAATATTTCTTTTTATTAGAAAGTCATATATACAGAGAGGAGGAAAGACATCGAGGAAGATCTGCCACTGGCTGAATCACTTCCCTAGTGGCCTCAACAACTGGAGCTGAGCCGATCCAAAGCAAGGAGCCTGGAGCCTCCTCCATGTCTCCCGTGTGGGCACAGGATCAGAACTGGCGCACATATGAGGTCCTGGAGAGTTCAAAACAAGTACTTTAGTCACTTGTAAACCTGCATTTGCAGTAGTACAATCTACAATAGCAAAGACAAGGAAACAACCCACATGCCAGTCAGAAGTAGATAAAGAAGCTGTGATACATCTGCATCGTGGAATACTACTTGGTTATTAAAAAGATATTCTTTGATATTGTAGACTGTACTGCTGCAAATGCAGGTTTACAGATTTCTTTCTCACAAGCAGACTTCATTTCCTTTGGATATATTCTCAGAAGTGGGATAGCGGGGCCATACGGCTCATCTATTTTCACTTCTCTTAGCAGTCTCTATACTGACTTCCACAGTAGTTATAGTATTCACCAACAGTGAAGGGGGGTGTTTTTCTCCCCACATCCACCCCAGCAGGCATAGTTAGTAAAGTTCTGAATGTAGACCAATTTCACTAACGTTACGTGGAACCTCAGTCTAATTTTCATTTGTATTTCCCTGACAGCTATGAAGCCTGGACATTTTTTTTTTCATATGTCTATTAGCCATCTGAATTTATTGTTTTGAAAAATGCCTGTTCATATCCTCCACCCATATCTTCATAAGGTTGCTTGTTTGTAGTTGTTGAGTTTCTGAAGCTCTGTGTAAATCCTGGATATTAGACCCCTATCAGCTGTGCAGTGTTAAAAGATTTAATCCCATTCTGTTGGTTCTTCTTCATTTTTGTTTATCATCTTCTTTGCTTCTCAGCTTGATGTATTCATTTTTCTTATTGATTTCTTCACTGACACATAGGTCACACATTAGCATCATTTGCTTCAAGAAGTTTGTATTTTATTTCATTTTTCATTCTTTCACCTCCATATTGGTCATTTTAAGGGCATATATAGTAACTGTGTATAGAGACTATCATATCCAGGTGTGAAGATACGATGCAGCATGCATCTCTACTTCCAAATCAAAGATGGACTGTCAATGAAACCGTTAACTATATCTTGACAATAGGGTGCTGTGTCTATACCTGTAATGTCAGGATACCCTTAAATAGCAGAATGACAGAGTTATGACTGATTATGAAAGACTATGCTATTGCAAAAATATAGGGGAAATCAGTGTGGGGGGTAATATGGGTGGGAAGAGAAATTCAAGAGCCTATGAAACTATATCATAAGATATTAAAATAAGTATATGTTTAAAAAGAAAAAGGTAATCTGCCCAGGACTTGGACTGGCACCTACATATAATAGTGATATCAAATATCGGTCTTAGTTGCTAACCAGTGAAATAATATAATTGGTTAAAATCTTAATTCCATGTTTTATCCTAAAAGGCTTGGTCTATTTTCAAACAGTTTAATTCCAGTGGTTTTTCAATGACCATTGCAAAAACTTCATCTAGATAACTATACCTCTGTATTTTTAATTTTCCAATGCCACTGAGGGTGTACACATTTTTACCAATATTATTTTGCCTAAATATCACTGCATCCATCATTTATATAGATTTCTCCATTCATAGAGAAAAAGGATTGATTCCTAACTTCTATATTCCTCTAACAGGCAAAAGTCAACATACTAAATAATGGGAAACAAACCACTGAAGACAATTTTGGATACATTTTGAAGATAATTTGGCAATCCTAGCTTGAAAAATATATGTTGACTGCAAGAAAAAAAGAGGGAGGTGATCTCAACTCCAATATTGTTTAAAAGGAGGTATGTAGTTAAAAATTTCCAAGTTTGGCAAAATTGGAGGTAGGTGTCTAGAGGATTAGAGAATATTATTTCAGATTTTTATGATATGTGCATTGCATGAACACATGGAAATTCTTAGTAGCAAATTTGATGTTTCAATCTGGAGTTTAGTTTAAATGTTAACATGGAAGTTTGGATTTGAGATTTCTCAGATCATTGATGATATGTAAAGTGTGAAGAATACCTGAGATCAAAAAGGGTTTGAGTGAAGACGGAAAAGTGCCCAAAATTACACACACACACAAAAAAAAAGAATAAAAAATTCACAGCTTATGAAATGGTGAATATTGACAGAAAGACTGTAAGGCATACACTTTGGTAGGATATGTCTCAGTTATAGGAAGTTGTTTAAAGCCTACTTGACAGGAAAAAAGTATCCACAGAGACAGAAGAGCTAAAGATTTCATGTTCAAATATTTACACAGGTCATGAAAACTGACAGCCTCTGAGTTTCTTGACTCTTAGCCCATGACATTATCCTGACTTTTGAAGAAAGTTTTTGAAATTAATTTATGTTTTTGATGTAATTATCTGATTGTCTGAGTATCTTTACATAA